GCCCCCTAAGAACGTGTTTCGGTCGAGAGCGGAGTTTCTCGACCTACCGCAAGGTAATCATGACGTTCATGCTTACGCCCAACGTGCACTGCACATGGTCTCGAATATAGTGACCAATCCGATCGGCGGGGCGACTAAGGTCGTCAGGTTCATGAAGGGCTTGAGAGATGGAGCTGTCAAGACCTGTCTATTCCGAGAGCCCCCAACTACTTTCGGGGCTGCGATCACTCATGCGATGCAAGATGAGTTTAGCCTGAAGAAGGCTAAACTGTATACGAACGTGCCGGGGATGGTACGTCTGATAGTCCGGAACCAATGGGCCCTTTCGAATGCTTTGGCTGTTGATCGCCAACAGCGGACACTTTGCGTGTGAGTGCACAGCAGCTATGCTCTCGTCCAGGGGCCGACGTGGCAATGCCTGGCATCACTGCGAACAAAAATAAAACGTGCGGAATCAGTAGGCGCGGGGCGTCCTACAGGCTATGCATTCACCAGCGTCTACAAGGGACACACGGTAACAAAGACCGCAGTCCCCAGAGAGTGATACTCTTGCTGGATGAAGCAAGATGACAAGTCAAACCTTGTTATCCCGAAGGTGAGGTCGAAGATAGCAGGCTGGCTTCGTGCTTTGTAGAATCAGATGCGTCGAACAACTTTGTTCGACTGGAAAGTCAATCGAAGTGCTTTGGAAGTTCGGTTGGCAATGGTGCCACTGTGAGGACGGAGAAGCGCGTCGTACGAGTGCGCTTCTCGTACAAACACCTGTTGTTTGTTGAGGACCTTATCGTCTTGGATCTTGATGACTTAGTGTTGGCCATGCCGTGGCTTGCGAGACATGATCCTGTGGTCAACCAGGAGAAGCATATGCTTGTACGGTTCGGAAGCAACGCGACAGAGAGCGATGATACTGCCAATGTAGCGCATGCACCGCGCGGTGCTTCTGACCGCGCCGTCGAGGCAGCGCCGAAAGCTATTGTCTCCGGTGCTAACACACAAGTCACAAGGACTGCGGTAGTCGTTGCGTCTGCCCCAAATTAGAAATTAGATTTGAGATACCTTTCTACTTCACTGCAAATATCAACTCAGGGAGCTGATGCATTCAGTAAGTGAGACTTTTCGTTCACAAAAAATGTCTTTGACGATGGCGTATCAATTCCGGGAACTGGTGTATCGGATTTTGCAAGGGGCTCCAGCTACAAGCAGTAGCTGTGATGTCATTGTGTCAGCTCCGGGAGTTGCCACGACCGTGATTGGACAAGATATAACGAAGGGCGTCGCCGTAAGGCGTCGAGGTGGAAAGGATGTGTCGGCTCAAGGAGGCGACACAAACTAGATATCTATATCGAGAGGGGACTGTGCCGCAAGACGTCGAGATGTCATTTGCTTCAACTCCAGCAATTGACGACGCGGCAAGCGGTGTTAGTGGCTGTAAGCGTCAAAGGCCGGAGACGCTTGCGTGCTCACGTGCAGTCGGGCTGCACGAAGAAACGGAATGCAATCAAGCCGGACTAGATCATTCGCGTTCGCGGATAGAATCAGCCGGCGGTTTCAATGAAGGAAATCCGTCCAAGGCCGGGTCTAGACGATGGACATGTTAAACCGGGCTTCACAAGAAGAAAAGACGGAGCAAGAAACGCAATCTGCACAAGTCTCAGCCCAAACCCAAGACGCTATATGAGATGTCTGCCGGTCATATATCGGTGAAGACGTCGAGCGTCGAGAAGTTCAACGTCTCGACGCAGGCCCGTTATGGACTGTTATACTGGTCGATGAAATTGAAGAATTCTCCGACGCAAAAGTCGGAACTGACATCGCTTTCAGTCATGAGCTAGATACGCTTAGCGAAGGATCTGTTCGATGCGTCAATCGGACAGACATGCATCCTCCCCGATATTTAAACGATGCAAAAAAAGCGAGCGGTGGAGTTCCTTTAACTCCACCGCTCGCTAGATTGAGGACACTCTCAGTGCGAAGACTAAGAAGCAGCCCTTAGATGAGCAGAGCTGGGAGTCCCTTCTACGATGTTCTGCAGAAGCACAAAGATGAACTTCCGGACGAGATTCCTGCGGAACTTCCGCGGGGCAAGTGCACCCAGCACGAGATTGATCTTGTGCCGGGTACGAAGAATTATGTGACGCGACAGTGACCACTGCTGTGAGATCAAGCAAAGGCTATCGACGACTTCTTTGAATGTTGTCGTAAGGCAGGACAAGTGGGAGAATCAAAGTCCCCGCACAATGCACCAACGTTCTGTGTCAAGAAGCCACAGGGCGGCTGGC